TATATATATATATATAAATAATCACAGTTTTTAATCCTGCAATTAAATGTGTCAATTTAAAGCTGATACCTTGCTTCTATACATTTGAACCATCTTGAGTCTGCGCAGAGTCTCTGTTTTTGCTTTGATCTCCTTCCTGAGTTGTTCTGCAAAGTCTTCCGAGGTGACGTGTGCTGGTTCGGGAACAGGTTCGGGCTTAGCCGTGGCCGCAGAGACCTGCTGGCCACCTTCCTCCTCCTCCTCTTCATTATCCACGCAGAGGCGTTTGGCCACAGGAGAGATGAAGGAGCGCCTGCTCCTCTTCAGCCTCTCTCTCAGCGAGGCGCTCAGCTGCAGACGCTGCTGCGGGATGACAGGAGCACGTAAAGAGTCTGCGGTTTGTAGTTTTCAGGTCATAACACACATACAGCTGTTAGCTTCAGCTAGTATTGATCGATACACACAATAAACAACGCTCACCTTTTCCTCTTTAAACTCAGACGGGCTCGACTCGGCTGCATAACAAGGTGGACAATACGCAGATTTTAATTTAGGAGTGACCTCCATTAGTCAAACTGACTGAGGTTCATGAAAATTAGGTTTTTTTTACGCACATAAATCTGCTTTTAGCTGAAGCWATGGCATAACTTTTCTGTTTTTCCGTATTTCCGCGGGGAAGAGCCTCTGACGTTGGTGATTGGACAGAATTCAATGACGTTTACCCGAAAAGAATCTTGGGAGTTGTAGTTATTTCCCAATTGCGTTCCAAAACACAACACCGTCGTTCAGTGGGGGATACAGGCCCCATAGATTCAACACAACTGCACACATACGTATTTTTGAAACAAATGGAACCCCATAGACGGGTGGTTTACAAACATTTTGAAAATTTGGCGGTGGAGAAGAAGAAGAAGAAGAAGTCGAAAACTCAAAATTGCATCAAACTTGGAGTGTGGAAAAGGCGGTAATTGGCATAAACTGGTGTGTGAATGGTTCGGATGGAGATGGAGATAAGTAATGAAGAAGAAGGGGAATGCGAAGGGTGGACGCCAGTGGGAAGAGGGAGAGGAAGAGGACGAGGAGGATTCAAAGTAGGTGACGGTAAGGGAATTAGAGATGTTCAAGGAAGTAAACGGGATCTAGAAGAAAGCAGTTCAGAGGAAGAGAGGGTAGTTAGGAGAAAAGTTGTGGATGAGAAATTTAAAGTAATTCTGAAACTTAAGAGCGAGGAAGGTCAGGAAAAAATCAGCCCAATTGGGGTGTCAAGGGAAATTAAAAAGAAAATAGGAGACGTTGAAATGGTGAAGATCTTGAGAGATGGAAGTCTTTTGATAGAATGTAAGGATATAGAACAAAAGAGTAAGGCTTTTAAAGTGGAAAACATATGTAAAAGAGCGGTGCTGGAAAAAAAAATGTTGGGAGAAAACAAAAAAACTAGAGGGGTGATATATGGGATCCCACTAGATGAGGATTTAGAAAAACTTAAGAAAAATGTAGTTGGAGCAAAGGTGTTCAATATGAAAAGGCTGTCAAGAACTGTGGATGGTGAGAGAGTGGGGAGTATGTCAGTTCTGGTGGAGTTTGAAGAAAAAGAGCTGCCAATGAATATAAAAATAGGATATATAAGCTTCCAAGTCAGAACTTATACACCTCCAC